GTGCACGGCTGCCACTCCCAACATGACCGCCTACTGCGGTCATCAAAAATCCACCAGCGGCGACATCTTAGTATCATCTCGCCGTGGTGCTTTCCACTACGGAACACCCCCATTCCCGAACTTACTATAACAATGAATGCACAATACAACGTACGGAACTACCCCCGCCCCACCCTGCCCCAACCTATCTACAACGAATTTTAACTACAACGGTAGTGCCTAGGCGGGGGGGGCGCCTACTACTACTACTACTACTACTGCTACTACTACTACTACTACTACGACGACCACCACCACCGCCGCCGCCGCCGCCGCCGCCGCCACCACCACCACCACCATCACCGCCATCCCCACCATCACCATGACCATCACCATCACCGCCACTATAACCACAACGGCGACACATAGGAGTACTAATTTTACTCACTGGAAGTAGTCTTGGTGTTTGCGTTTGCATCAATATCAATGCTGGCTTTGCTAGTCGTACTGGTATCAAGATCAACATTTCCCAATGCCGTAGAAACCTTCCAATATTCCTGTGCGGAAACAGGCCGGCAAACGCTCGAATCTCACTCGGGCCCTCGTCTGCTTCCCACCAAAAGATTGAAAAACCCAATGTCAAGCACCTTACTCCTGAACAGCAAGCTTCAAACATCACTGTGTCCATGAACTAGGATCAGCACAACACGCGCCACCTCTGCAGGACCTATCGCTGCGTGCTGGTTTGTTGGAGGGGGCATTTTGTGCATACTGGGAAATAATTATGGTGCTGGGATGCGGCGTCCAAGACATGATCTGAATATCCATGTCTTGACTTGCAGTTCAGAACATGGCGATTTGACAGCAAGCTGATGTGTGAGAGTCTCGAAGGCAGTCCAACTACGGCACGACCAACGCCACCCCAGCAAAGGCAGCAACACCAGCCGTTTGCCACCACGGCAGGAACCTATCAGCCGCCCTAGCCGCAACAAACTAATTACGTCGAAACGTCCCTGCCAAGAGCGCAGACACCTAAGGTTGCAGAGCGAATCCTATACTCGTACCCAGGGTCTCTGACAAATCTGGAGGCAGTGCAGCACGAACCCGTAGCCCCATGTTCACATAACATCATGAATTGATATGGGCACAGCAGGCTTGCCCTAGCAGGCTGCAAGATGCAGCTATCTATGAGGACACACAAACAAAGGTAGAAAAACACTCTGTAGTCTCTATAGCTACTCATATGCGGCCTCTGCTCGGCAGTGTACCTTTATGTGTCATCAGTACATACCTGCAGTATATCTTGGTTGCAAACTTTACTCTGACGGCTTGGACTCCATACAGTATAAATTATACCTGACAAAGAGCTCGCGGCACCTCACGCAGCTTGGCTGTCCTGCAAAGGCTTGCAAGCACATGGAAATGCCTTTGTGGCGGCTCAAGGGTTTAAGGTTTGAACAGGGGGGCTTTTAGGGAGAGACTCAAGGGCTTAGAGGTTCTCAAAGTTATCGCTCCTTTTTCTGGTGGGGCCCCAAGCCAAGGATCGAAGGGCACATCTACTTCTGAGAAGCGTTGACACTATGGCCTCACAACGCAAGGGCCTACCATGGGAACTTAGAAGCCACTATGAAGAAATGTACCCTGAAACGTGTGGCATCCCTGTGAGCCTGGGACCTCTTACATAAGTCGAGTCTTCTTGGAACTCTGCTACTTGCAGAATGCTGGTGGTCCAATGTAGCTCCTAATCGGGCCTTTGCATAAAGAAGCGCAAGCGCAACCCATCCGCAAAGGCAGCTTGGTGTTGCTTCGTATTGCAAGTATTTCTGTGATGAGAGCCTCCTTTGGAAAAAAGACTGATAGAACGACCGTGGTAGACGCAACTAGACTGTTCCTTGTTTGGATCTTGGGCTGAGGGCCGGAACCAGGAAGCTCCCTCTCAAAGACATACATCAAATTTCAATGTTGGGGCTGTGCCGTTTCACCACCTTCTTTGCCCTGCATGTCCTATATTACGTACCGCAGGCTGTAGCTTCTGCAGCGCATCCTAATGCAATGCGAAGCTCATTCCAAAAAGTGCAACGGTCTGAGATATATAAGGCCGCTTCTGCCGATGACGCTTGAAAGGGCATGCAGCACAGATCTCCCCAAGAAATTGCATTCAACAACGGGGATTGGTACAATTGGCCAGCGTCGGCGCCGGATCCTCGCAGAGCACACATAGCTGTTCGCGGGTCCTGTGGTGAAAGTTGCCACCGAAAGAGCTTGACTGCTGGTTGTGGTACTGGATCAGGGCCTCGGCTCTTGTGGGAAAGATCATGCAAACCCTTCTCTTAGCACACACGCAAGCAGCTTCCGTGAGGTGGCTGGAGTTAGAAATTCTCTATCCTTACCTCTCCGTTTTCGACACCCCTGGCTTGGTTCTTCTGCACATGACATTGCCCCATGGACCCGCGCAATGTGTTGTCGCCATACTTCTCGCTGGCCGCAAACACGTCGCCTCCCAGAAAGTGCCGCTCATGACAAGGGCCAAAGCACACATAGGAAATGCCTGTCGCCTCAATCAACCTCCCATGCCACCGTATGCTCCTCTTTGAGTTCTGAAGCTGGCAACTTCTCTCAAACAAGCCTTCACACAGGAGGTTCAACATGTTTGGCCCAATTCCTGTCAATGACGAGGCGCAGCACATGAGCAAGGGATCGGCATGTTTTTCTCAAGCTGCGTGTCGAGTGTCAGTTACAAACGCATGCGGCAGAGCCACCCAAGGTTGTAGCCCAAGAGCCACTTTCACAATCAAGTCGAACCGAAAGCTATATCATTTGATCTTCTCTGGCATGCCCTCTGAAGCTCAGTCGTCCGACTTCAGGCTTGGGAACATATCCAGCACGGCCAGGCGTGTCTGAATGAAGGTGGGCTTCACGGCCAAGACGTAGACGCAGTAGCCGAAGCAGTAGCCGTGGATCAAGGAGAGCCCGTAGCCTAGGCTCCGCACTTTAAACTTTCTGAAAAAAGCCTGCGTCTGATGCGAGGGACAGAACCACCCTTTAAAACCTAGCCCGGTAGCGCACGACGGTCCCGCCAAAGCCGCCGCCACCTGCAAAGCCAACCTTCGAGGCTCCAACTCGCAAAGCCATCGGATTTGCGCGTCAAGGGCGTGGTGGTGCGCTGTCCAACACACGGAAGGCAACTGGAGCCAGATCTGCTGAAAAGAAAGAGGTTCGTGGCTCTGCTGGCATAGACTTCAAAATCTGGCACCTCACTATACTGCTGATGGGGGCTCATTTTTCCTACTCAACTTCCAGAATCCCTATGATGCAGCCTTCATAAACCTTGCTCCGTACACACCGTATATAACCATACATACTGAACCCTAAATCATATAAAGTACTTTCCATTTTCTTTCCATTATCACGAAGTCCCCCTGACCCCTATGTGACCCTGAGCAGCGGATCTTTCACTCCGAGCAAAGTCGTAAGCTCGCGTCTGCCATGGCGATGGCTCCGTCCAGAGTGTAGTTCCCTCCGATGAAGCCTGCGAACCCACCGAAGTCGGGTTTAGGGTTTGAGGTTTGGGGCAGCACAGGGCAGGTTGCGCCAGCAAACCGATGTAGGGACATGTTGGAATTCGTAGGGTATATATATTTATATTTATATTTATATTTATTTATCTATCTATTTATACGGGTGTAGAGTGCATGAGGAACATTTTATGTGGATTTGCAGGGATGATTCATGGGGTTATACAGGGATGTTGGATGTTAAGGGGGACTCAAACAATAATCCTGGATAATTCCCTCCCCTTGGTGATTGGTGATAAGCCCCTCAATATACTGCTCCTGTCTATTACGTGAAATACTTCTTTTTGGGGGGGTTGGTTTCCACTACGCAGCGCCCTAATCAGCCTTACTTAACCTTTAATCTCCCAAAGCCTTGCTCTCTGAACCCACTGCTGCTCTTTATTCTGATGGTCCGCAACCGAGGAGCCGTTCACATGAGCGAAGCACGCTCCTGCATTCAAGTAAGCATTCTCACTATCAGACAGTACGAGTACCACAATCAGAATAGGAATGAATGACAGTATCGTATATTCCCAATGTACTAAAGCGCACTATGCTGGGAATATGTAATAGCATGGGTAGGGTGGCTGAAAATGAGGGAGAGGGGATAAGCTGCAAGGGATAAGCAGCCAGCGCAACACATAAAACTTGTGGGTATGCCACTTGTCCAACTTTGCAAGTACTTGCAAACAATAATCTAGGCATTCATAGCTCTAGGAAACTTATTGTTGGAGCTCTCCTGGCTTGTTTTTGGAGGGCACCACCTCACCAATGTTGAGCGCAGCACCCGGGTCCCTGCATGAGTGATGGTTTAAGCAATATTTCAAGCAGCTATCAGCTCGGTGTATTTTGGGTACCCGAAAAAACAACCAATGACTTTGACCATCTGGATGCGCAGTTGGGGTTCCGCCTTCTTTTAGATGGCAAACATCGTCAACACCAGATAACTGGACTTGTCCTTCACGTTGCTAAACATGCCCGTTCAAAGTTAGTGCACCCAAATTGGGAACCAGAACCCTAAACCCTCCATGATGGAGTTTCAGGAAGTAGGGGAGCCCTTACAAGTATAAATAAAACTATGATAATAAACATTTACCATAAACACTTACCAAACGTACCTACCCCCAAAAGGCAACCACTATGATTTACAGTTTATAAGAAACCCCTAATTTTGGGAAACCTAAGCCGAACATATTCCCATATGTACCTCCACATACCAGTATAACCCCCACGTAGCCCTGCACGACCCTGTACATCCCCTATAGCCTCATATATGGGAGCTTCTCAACATGTTCCCCGTATAATGCGCAAGAAGGATCTCTACAGATGGTCCCTTAAGGGCTGCCGATTGGAACCCAAGTGCGGACCCTAATCCTTACTATACATGTCCTATAAAGGTACCATCCTTTAGGAATTAAAAAAAAATACTCCCAACCCTAGTTACACCAAAAGCCCTAACCCTCCCCTAAGCCCTATACAATGGCTAGCTCCTTCGATTCCGCTGGCTTTCACTAAGGCATCGTCTCGCAAGCCGCGCCAGGCCCTGGGCTTCAAGATGGTTTTCCGGGCTTTTGAGCTTGCGTTTTAAGGTTTTCGGCGCGCACGTCGCGCTGAAGTATTCCGGGGTCCAAAGGTCTTGGAATACGAATTCAGAGAGTCCAGTTGCAAGCCATAGCCCTAATTCATAATGACCCCGGAAGGACCTCCAAAATGTCGTGTTGCCAATATCTGCACGTGGTAAGTACACTGATCAGCCAGGCTCGGCAGGGCCCAGAGTCATTGAGTGAACTGCTGTGCATCCAAAGGTTATAATAGGGGTTCAGGATCTAGGGTTCTTGAGTTTGGGGGTTGTTTTTCTGTGGTTTGTCTTTTGAGGTTTAGGGTTTTTGGGCTTGGTTTTTTGGGTTTGACGCTTTTTTTGTGGGTTTAGGGTTTGGGGCTTTGGGGATTCTTTGGGAAAACGAGTGTTATTAACTCTTAGCGGTTAAGCCAAGTAAGACCACATTCTTCTTGGGAAATGCTATGACAAAAGGAAGATACAACCTTACCCTAGACCGGGAATTTGGAATATCCCGCGATATGAATAGTCATGGGAGTATTTCTTCCCTCTATACGTAATTCTGCTCACTATTATTCCATTTCCCCCAAATCCCCACCCCCCGAACCATACATGTTACCTTAATGTACACACTATACAGGGCATTGCTATGCTGGGGGGGTACTCGTAGCGGCGGGGTGTTACATGATGAGGGGGAAAGGCTACGGTCGGTGGTCTTCAATCGGAGGTTCCCACGAGTCTCCCTGGGCGTTCGTACATTCAGGATTAAGCTATTTTAGTGTCCATAAGGGCCCCCACTTTCCAGATGCCCTCGAATGTCCAGAATTGAAGGCTGCGGCTGGGATCAATTATTTCTGGATTTTTTCGTATAGCTGAATCATGAAGTATACGAGGACCCGGGCTATTGCCAGGCTGGCACCGTATGGACAATGCAAAGGTAAGGCTTTTCGACGTGGGGCATGTAGCGGGCCGCAGAATCCCCTCACGCAAGCTTGGCTCCCTTTCAAAGAGCTGTAGTTTTTTGTGCCTCTTTCGGGAGTTCAATGTTGCTTTGGGGAATATAACTATCACGCACATCATTGGCCGCTGGCGCGTCAAAGTCCACACAGGCAATTCTGTTGCACAGCGCTTCTTCATTGAAAGGCTGGGGTTGCTACTCTAGACATGCAGGGTTCATGTTCATCTATTTAGCAAAATGGCAACCCCGAGTCCTCACTCTTGTGAATTAATCGAACCCCAGATACCTCCTGCCAACGACTCAGCGTCCATTCACAAGAATTTGAAACCCCAGCACGGTGAAATTCTGACCTTGTCTGCGCTTGCTTCTTGATTTTGTCACAACTCAAAACGTCAGGCAAGTGTCTCAGGCAGGGAGAGGCGATTTGTAAAGAAGCGACCTTCCACGGGAACTGCGCGTACTCGGAAAAGGTCCTCCTTGAGCAATTGCATCGCCAGACTCTCTCTAGACAAGTTTGTCTTTGGCTTTCTGCGGAAAATCTGTAACAAGCTCAACTTTCCCCCTCTGCTTTTGAATCTTATTCTTTTGCCCTGGACTATAGCGCTGACAACTCCCGCTGCTGCCCCATCTGAACCTCCATCGCAGCCCAGGCTCTTCAGGATACACCTCGGCCAGGGAGCAATGCTGCACTATGTTCTGAGGTGCTCAAATTCTGATGTTTTTGCAGGGCAGTCGAAGCTCCTGCGTCTTAGCTCGCCAGGTCAAACTGAAACAGCTTGAGGAGTTGTTTTTTGTTCCGTCTGCTTCTCTCAGACCTTCAAGAAACCAATGGACTGCGCCTACGCAGCACAAACAAAGAGTTCTAGTTCGAAGACTTGCCTTTTCTGGACTGTGCAGCTGTCTAAGAAGCTGGCAATGAACTTGATGTGGCCCTCAATGCCTAGCTCTCGCTCGATGTCGAAGATGTGGCCCCTGAACAGAAATGGGATGGTTGTCACCATGAAGGTGCCTAGGTATTAGGGGCCGTATTATGCTAGAGCCTCACAAGGGCGCACTTTATGAAACCAGTCGGCTACATGTGCAACATCGCGGAGGTTTCCTGTGTAATTGTGGTGATGGTTAGAAAACGGTCAACGGCAAAAGCCTATCCACTCTCACCGCGGCTGCTGTCGCCAGCATGCATATAAACAGCTCAAACTATGAAGCCGTGAAATCCTGACAGTGAGAGCTGCGTGCTGAAGAGCCCTCTGACTTTTTGGACAGGTGCACTTCAAGCATTGAAAACGATGTAGCATGAATGTCGGACTTCCCTCTCGCGAATGCGAAGCGGAAATGAAGTGGCCAGGATCATTGGCAAAGAACTGCGACCTTCGCTACTACTGGAGCAAGCCTGCCCAAACAGCACCATGTGGCTATCTGCCTAACTCCAGGCGTGTGGTCTTTCCTGCAAACCGCCAACTTACAGTGGAGACAGCAGCCAAGCTTTGTCGGCATGATTCGCAACAGTTGAAAACTCCATGTACAGTCTTCAAGATCAACAGAACCCTATAAACGCAGAGAGACCCTTCGCTTTGGGCAACCCAAACTGTCTGCCACAAGAAATAGTTTCATCAACTCCCTATCATGGCCCTTATGACCTTGGGACGTTGTCAAAATCAAAGCGCAAAATCCCTAGGAGCGACCCCAGACATCCCCGTATACTGGCGATACATAGTCCCCCCTAAGTAGATAGAATATGGCTTGGGGTATATCATAATAAGATCACCATATACCCTGCTTAAGGGGGTCTGTATCCTTGGAGTGCCTCAAGGCCCCATGCTCTAAAAAAGGGAACCCAAACCTCAACCTTACCTTTCCCTATAACCCATTTAAAAGAACCTGAGGATAGCACTACCACTTGAAGAAATTTCAAACTAGCCATAATAGTTTCCATCTGATTTTCCATTCTCCCAATATAACGTTTCCATTTTCTTTTCCATTATCCCAATATAACACCAATAATATAGTCCCCTGTATAACCCTATATATCCCTTTAAGGGGACCTAGGGTTTCCATTTTCGTTTCCATTATCCCAGTGCACCTCCAAGGCAGCTTTCCGGAGCTCAGTCTCAGAACCTTGGTGTTGGGGTGTACGGTCAAGGCTTAGGATCTAGGGACTTTAGGAGGGACCCCTAATAGGGACCCTCAATCCCATTACCATATATACCCCATATATATTCATTGTATAACCCCTATATCCCTANNGCTACAAGGGTCCCTATTAGGCGTCCCTCCTAAAGTCCTTAGATTAGGACTTCGGACTGGGGATTTCCTCGCATATCGAGGCTGTTTAAGGTGTTATACCTCTTTGTATAGGGTGTTATACATCTTTGTATAGGGTGAAGCCCTTGCGGCACTTAGGGCTTCCTGTTCAAGGCTCCAGGTTCAGGGTGGACACGCGACCTACCTCGCTTCCCCCCCCCGGCTACAATCCCCTGCAATATGGAATGATATTATGTTGGGGTTTTGCTGTTTGGGTGGGGGGAGGTTGCTGTTCTGGAGGTGATTACATGCATTATCCTAAACCCCAAACCTGGGGTCCCTTGCGCCTTATGGGCGCCACAACCACTGACATGTTCAGATCCCAGAGAATGGATTTTGAGCCAATATTGTTTCCACGGGCCCAAACATGCATCTGACTTGGTTAGCGGTACTTGTGACAACCCCTCCATAATCCGCAAAACAAAGCATTTTGCCAAAAAGCTCTCCTGAAGACCTGCAGTTAGGGCACCTGCCCGGAGCTGTGCACCTCCTCCCGGACCGCCATCGCCGCCTCCACGCAGGCGCGTGCTGGGAGCCAGGATTCCACGACGTCGCTGAGGACCTGACCACGTGGATGTGTGAAAACAGGAGTCCTTTTTGGAGACCCTAGCAATGTAGGGATTGGAAGATGATGGGGTCCTCTTTAAGGAGAGTAGCTTGCTTTCTAACAACTCCGGTTTCTGATGTAGGGTCCGGAATAATTGGAATCATTAGTCTTCCAAGGCTTCTACCACAACGGCAACGATGAACAGTTCCAAAGCACAGGCAAGACATAAGTGCTGCTGCAGTCGAGTTCGCTTGACCCTGCCAAAAAAAAAGTCTTACAGCAAAACTCTCGCTGTCTGTAGGTATGCAGATAGCATTGCGCAGATCAAAGCATGCGGATCGTTGAGCTGCAAAATGCCATGGGCGCTTGAGTGCCAAGAAAAGATGGTCCCGGTTAGACGTGCCTGAGCTCGGAGGCTAGGGAGTTGCCATCCCCGGGTTCAAACATCAACCAAAAAAATGGTGGAATCCGTTGATTCTGGGCGAGCCAGCAAAATCGCCCAAAACCGTGTCAAGACAATTCCTACTTTACCCGTAAAACGCAGAAGGGGGTCCTCGAGGAACTCCTGCCCGCACATAGCTGACCTGCGTGCGCTGCAGCAGAAGGAAACTCTTCTGGAGCTTCGGGATGTGGATTCAGGATCTAAACTGTCACCTCTTCTGGAACCTGTCCCTAGGGAGAAAGACCTCTGAAGTACCATCTTATGTTGAGGATATCCATAGACCATGTCAGGCACATCCGGCATCGAGGGGAAGGTGAACTTCGTCATTACGAAGCAAAACCACTTGTGGGACATGTCTTCGCGACGGCCAGGCAAGGATATCCTCTGCAGAATGTAGCATTTTGATAACGGCTACTGAATCCATAGCCAAACTCCTGGATTCAAGGGTTGAGATTAGATTCGCCGGCTTCGTAAAGATGACTGACACCCTTGGCAGGAGGCCAGCCCACCCTCCTGTATCATACCGCACTTTTGATTCTTAAAACTCCCGGAACCCAAAACCGTAAACTCCCTTAACCCTAAACCTTAGCTCCCTTAACCCTAAACTCCCCTGACCCTAAACCCTTAGCTCCCTTAGCCCAAACCTTAAACTTCCTTGCAGCTAATCCCTAAACCGACCCGCTCTGGGAAATCCCACCTGAAGGGATTCTGAGGATGCAGGGTGTTGAGGACCCCATATGGTCTCCCTTAAGTAGATAGAATATGGCGTATGGGCTGAAAAGGATTAGGGTATATATTCCCCCTGAAGTAGATAGAATATGGGACATATTATTGGGTTTTTATGTGGATAATGCAAAAGAAAATGGAAACTATTATAATGGGTTATATAGGGTTTAGGGTTTAGGGCCCCTTCGAGTAGAAAGAATATGGGGAATATGGGGATCTTATTATAATATACCCAAAGCCATATTCTATCTACTTAAGGGGGACTATATATAGGTACATGAGCCATAATCTAAACTCCTTGAAGGGGATTATATAGGGGAGTAGTATAGGGGTTATTAAGGGGGATACTAGGAGTTTAGACTATAGCCCACATGGGGGGTTCCCAAAACTTGGGTCTAGGTTTAGTTGCTCTCAAAAAAATATGGCGCCTAATATTTAAGGATACCAAGATGGGACCCTACAGTACTTGTGGGAACTACCCACATGGGGGTTCCCAAAACTTAGTTGGGTTTAGGGTTTAGGGATCTTACTCTACAAGCTTAATGGTGCATCAAAGTGGACATTGAAATGCACACCAGGATTAAAAGGGTTTAGGAGTTTTCCAAAATTAGGGCTACATTTTTTGGGTGAGTGTTCTTATAAAAAGGATTAAAGTATTCTGGGGGGACTAGATTGGGGTCCCCTATGTAGGGAAATTGCAGTATGATGTACGTCACGGGTTTTTATCTCATCTGTGGAAATGGGCGAGCGTGCTATTGATTTCCAAGTCCCAGGCTTTACGATGGCGATGTCGTTTCTTTTTAAACGTCGTCCACTCAAATAGGGTCCGATGTCCATCCTTCTCATACCTCCTATAACGCATGCAAAACCACTCATCAGTATGGGTTTGTGCTAAAAGTTTGGGCGGGTATCCCCTTATAAGGCATCTCTTCTTGAGCAATTTCCATATGCGTGCGGCATGAAGCATTCAGGTGCAAACGCTCAGGCTGAGGCTCGGCCTGTGGGCTACGTAGGATTCAGGGTCCAATGTGGATATTATTCGGGTTATATTGGGGTATTGTTGGGGTTTGGGATAATGGAAAAGAAAATGGAAACTGCTATGGAGCAAGCCTAGTCTCGCTTCGTTGTTCATCCAGTGTCCTTTATACATTGCACTCTTTGTTGATTTTTTCAGACACTAGGGCCCTGACTGTAGACCCTGTAGCGACGAACGAGGCCCCGGCGCCACTTCGAAGCGTTGATCCAGGATTTCATCGTCGCAGGCCTGCTCAGTCAGATTGACAGGTTGACCTACCATCCTGCTACTGTCAGTTTTGTAACTGCCCTAGTGCTCAGGATTTCTGGGATGTTCGGCAAAGGCGTGCCCAAAAGCATCCGCACCTCAGAACCAAAAACAATATCCTGAAACCTCAGCCCTTCCCCCCAAACCACAAAACCCTCAAAACCTTGAGCCTTTTTTGTAGCCTGCCAAGATGCTAAAGCCTTGCCGAAAATAGATGGATTTCGGAAACCCAAACTCTGAAAATTAGGGACCCTATAACTACATGTCGGTGGTTGGGCTTATCAAAACCCTGTTAGAGCCATTGTCCAGACTCCTAGTATCCCGCATAATATCCCCTATGCAATCCCCTACATACCCCCCCTTTAAGGAGTTTAGACTCTAAACCCTAAGCCCTGTATTATATAATCCCCTATACAACGCCCCTTAAGGAGTTTAGACTATAGCAAAGCTGAAGTGGCAACCTGCCTCGTTCCAGCGTGGATTTAGACGTGCTACACGCGCTGAAAGTCCGGTGCAGTCCTGGAAGCCAAGGGGGGATGGGGTAGAATTTGGGGTACCTTTAAAGGGGGTTATGGGGGTTATATAGGGTTTAGGGTTTATGTCTTAGGAGGACCCCCCCCACCCTGTAATAGTGGTATAGGTTTATAACTTAGGAGGATCTCCCCACCCTGTAATAGTGGTATAATAGGAATACAAGAGGAGCCTAATACAATCCTGATTATCTTTTGTAGTAAACTATTGCTGGGCCGGGGGTGCATCTAAGGCTCTAAGGATAGGCTAGTTTGCATGGAAGCTACTATACTACAGTGAGATGTATGTTGGGGTTGCCCCAGTTTCCATTTCAGTTTCCAGCTTCGTTTTCATTTGACTCTCCATTATTGTGGCAAATTCCCCAAAAAGGGACTAACAATTCAATCATCCAGGTGTCATGGTATCATCTTCATGCTAGAATCTGGTACGGAGCAGTGGGAATGGCCCGGGAACTGTCCAGCGATCTCATGACGAGATATGCGGCCATGGTGGGCGAGGTTCTGTCAGATTTACAGAACCTGATATAAAAAGAATCCGTTTGGGGGCGGGGGTGGGGGTTTGTGCAGCCTTCCCTTCAGCCTTCACCGACCAGGAAACGGCAAACCGCACAAAGGCTGTCTTTAAAAAAGAGTCAGGTCTACCGAGGGAGGCTTTTCAGGTTCCATGTCTGGCATGGGGACATGGGCCCTCACGTTATGGCTTACTGCATTGACCACGGTCTGGACGTCAAAGCATTGCGGCTCAAACCATGGACATGAAAAATCGTAGCTGCCAAGCTGGGGCCCTTTTTATGAAGAGTTCATGTCGTACGATTGTACAATTGTTGGATTTCAAGGCTTGCGATGTATGGTAGGTCACACTATCTCAGGGTTGACAGGGTATGTCGGTTTGGCAATATATTGTGGAGATTTCAGGTGGTTCAAAACTCTTTGACTGTTTTTTTCTACTCCAGGCAGAAGGCTGCTACTCAAGCCTGACGTCTCCGGAATAATTAGCTAGCTGGCATCGACACGTCTATTGCCACAAGCAGGTGAAGACCAGACGCAGTAGAAACAAGCTCAGAGACTGAGACTCCTTGAATCGAGGAGTACCTTCAGCACACATCTCGACCTTGCAACAAGGAGCTTCGGATGATGATCCTCTCTCGTAACTGAGGGATCTGTAGATCTTTCTGGCTTGGAACCTTCTCAACACACGGCCCTCTGCAACAACTAGTCCAAGCTAGGCTGCACTCCGCAAATTGAAGGATGTAGCGTAATTACAATAGTGGAGAATCAAATGAACAACAACATGGAAAATGACATGTAAGCTACATGTAGGGATTGAATGGTAGTTGTCGTTGAGGGTTGATTAGCATGCAATGCGCTCTTCGGCCGACTATGCGCACACCTAACTAAGAGTAGCCTTTTCCCAGTTACAGTACACATATATTGGGGAACATTAGATTCCTCCTTGGCTCTAGAATCTAGAGCTTTTGATGGCTCATGTGCCGAGCCGCACCATTGTCGATCGCGTCAATGCACTCCACAAATCTGTCATACACCTCCCAATGGACAGATCTCTTGGCAGGGTATGCCAGTTTGATGGGGGAAATCCTGCATACCTCCAGCAATCCTGGCTACAGCAGTTCCGACCACCCAAGCCGCGTGAGACTTCCTTCTTCAAACAGAACTGTGCTTTGGAACCTGAGCGTAGAACAGGCCCACGGGTAGCTGTAGCTGTTTTTGTTCATAACAACACCAGCTACACATGATGAAGGATGTTGAGAGGAAACACCACCACCACCACTCGTCAGAAGATGTCAGAAGAGCATAACATGATCGCTTGGTGCCTCTGCCCAAATGAGCTCAGTACTATCTGGGTCTGTCGCAGCGAGCTGTCGGATGAGATCTCGCCCGAAGTGTTTGTATACCAAGCCTCTGCTGACCGTTGCTGCCACGGAATGGAAGGATGAAGAAACAAAGGGCAATGGCAGCGATAATGACATGTCCGTGATGTTACGTTACTACCATGATGATGGGATGCGCAGTGCCGTGAAAGCACATGCTCAGACAGGAGTCCATAATTTTACGAAACCGCCAGATACAGAGCCATGGTGCCGCTAGAGGATAATCTGGTCTTCCACCTGCCTGTGGCCTTGGATGCGACAGCACATTATGATAAGCAGCCTTGTGTACGGGCCTTGCTCCCAACCTTGTGAACAATGTGAACAGTGACTCCTGCTGCAGCTTGGCCTAATTTTTCTTATATCTGACACCAGCGATGCGGCAGATAATCAGAAAATCGCCGCAAGAAAATCCTACACAAACGATCGTGGCGATGCACGCCTATAGGTCTGACCACCGTTGTACTGAAATTATCAATATCATGACAGTCAGCCGCCTCTTCCGGTCCCTTGGCGACTCCAGGTGTACCATCCGCAGTCTCGAAGAAGCTCCGCTGGTGATGGTCGAAACGAAGCTGGCTGGGGTCATACACGTCGCCGACCTTCGGTAAAACTGTTGTGGGGGCTTGGGTCTCGGGGGCGCTAAGGAATTTAGGGCTTGAGCAGAAGAGCCGGTGGTGTGCATGCAAAAGTCTTGCAACACCTGTAGACTTCCTAC